CATCCATAGGAGGAAACTGGCTGCCAGGCTCCAGGAAGCGGAAGAGACAGCTGAAGCTGCCCAGGCCCGGGCTGCCTCCCTTGAAAAAAATAAACAGAGACTCCAGGCAGAAGTCGAGGACCTCACCATTGACTTGGAAAAGGTCAGAAGGTCAAAGGCTCAAAGGCTGCCTATTTGCTAGGTCAAAGGGGCCACAGAGAGCTGGATGAGACTGTCACATGTCTGGGGTGAACAGGAAGAAACAGTGGCCGATGAGGATGAAGCACAGGATCTATATACAGGCCCACTGAAAACAGGCTCCTGCTTGAATATGTGTTTATATATACTCATAATTCTAGATCTGAACACTCTAAAGCCACTATTTAAATAGACCCATGACGAGGATAAAACTTAGTCCCAGGAATCCATGTAACATATTATCCCCGTTCCCAATTCTCTCATAAAAACTATGTCCCACAGAGTTCGTGTGGCTAAATATTCCTCTTTGCATCGTTGGGGGTCAGGCTGATTTGCCAGTCTTCAGCCAAATTAAATAAGATCCACTGCCTTTCCATATCAACCTGATCTTGGTCTAGACAGGACCATTGCTTCATGCCAACAGTGAGGGGCAGAAGTTCATATCCATGGGAAAGGCTTCAGAAAATCGTCCTAAAACCCAAAAAGGTTTTGCTCCTCCCAAATTAGGAAACGACACAGAAATTTACAAAATCTAGTATTGCACAGCAGCAAATATATAGTTACCAGAGAGTTATGAAAAAGATAAAAAACTTATGAAAAAATAATGCCTAAGAATAATCAGCTTTGATTCACAGAAAAATAATACCAAACCCATCTCTGAGTTGGACAACGGATGTATAATGTATATTAGTACATTATAGAGAAATACATTATGGAGAATTGGGTGACTGTCATAAATCTTGGAAGGATGTTGTGGCCCAGATTCCTCATTTTACTCTTGAGAAAATTCTAGCCTAGGAAGGTAAGGTAGACTGCCCAAGGTCACCCATCTAGTAGCAGAAGTTTTAGAACTAGAATGTAGCTCTTTCTGACTCCCTAAGCCTGTGCTTGTGCCATAAATGTTGAATTATATCCCAATCCCCAAGAAGTCTGTGGTCACCAGAGTCACTGGGGAAGGACAGGAAAGGAAGGGAGGGGAGCAGCAGGAGGGGAAAGGGGCAGGAAAGTCAGACCCTCAGAGACCATCCCCACCTCTCCCTAGGCCAATGCTGCAGCTGCCGCCCTGGACAAGAAGCAACGGGTCTTTGACAAGATGTTGGCTGAGTGGCAGCAGAAGTGCGAGGAGCTGCAGGTGGAGGTGGACAGTTCACAGAAGGAGTGCCGCATGTACATGACAGAGAGCTTCAAGATCAAGACGGCCTATGAGGAGTCCCTGGAGCACCTTGAGTCAGTAAAGAAGGAGAACAAGACCCTGCAGGGTGAGTCAAGGGTAGACAGGTGGGCCTGCAGGGACAAAGACACAGCCAGAGCCCTCTTTCTCCCAGGCACATCATGGGTTTAAGCAACTGGTACACAGTAGGTGCACAATAAATGTTTGTTGACTGGCTGGCAAGAGTTTTGTAGAAGCACTCGAGCACTCAGTAATATAACTTCAGGCAAGTGAATTACTTTAACTATCTGTGCCTCAATTTTCTCATCTATTAGATAGGGAAATAATACTGCCTTCCTTGTAAGGTTGTTGTGCCAATGAAATACAAAAAAAAAAAAAATGTGTCAAGTCTTCACTTAGTAGAATAGCTGGTGATTCGAATTCAAATAAAGGCTCAATAGATTTTATTTTAGCCCTTACATCTGTCATATGTCAGTAATATACACATGTATACATATTTCTTACATATCAGAGTTTCGGGCTGGAATTTGAGGCCTGGGGGGTGTTCTGGGGGGAGTGTCTCCAGAAAGGGAGGCCTTGTATATAGAACTAACAGCCCCTAGAGTTCTGGGCACTGGCCCTAAAGCTATTCTGTGCTTGCTTATTCTTCTCTGGGCTTCAGACCCTCATCTAGGGTGTCCCAAAATTCATGCAAGAATGCAAATCTTGCGTGAATTTTGGGACACGCTATATAAAAAGAGGAGCTTGGATCCACTCAAGCCCTGATGCCCCACGAGTCTATGACTTGGAGTGTATTGCTTCTCTTTTGATACAGTGAGGCTAGGAGTGCCTGCTTCTGACCCCAGTGGAGAAATATCTGTGCCACATGCCATGATCCTGGGAAGCTGGTAGTCTTCATGAACCTTATTAACAAGAATATTCTTTTTTTCAGAGGAGATAAAGGAACTGATTGATCAGTTGGGCGAGGGAGGACGGAGTGTGCATGAGCTGCAGAAGTTGAAGAAAAAATTAGAGATTGAGAAGGATGAACTCCAAGTGGCCCTAGAGGAAGCTGAGTCTTCCCTGGAGGTAACCTCATGGCTGTCTCTTTGGGGGTGGAACACTTGGCCAGGGTCCGCAAACCTGCTTAGCCAGAAAGACTGACATTTACATTCCTGGCAGGTTGAAGAGAGCAAGGTGATTCGAATTCAGCTGGAACTGGCTCAGGTTAAGGCTGACATCGACCGGAGAATTCATGAGAAAGAGGAAGAATTTGAAGCTACGAGGTAGGGGGCTGACAGGATGGGAGGCTGACTTGGATAGCATGATGGAGCAGAGTCCAGAAACCTGGGTCTCTGCCACTTACTAGTCATGTGATCTTGGGCAAATAAGATGAACCTCTCTGAACCTCAGTTTCCACATCTGTTAAACGGTAATAATGGTAGTACTTTATACAGATGGGGTACTCTGTGGTTAACAAACACTTGGAAATGTCTTACTTCAATGATTCATCACAAAACCCCATGAGATAATAATCCAATTCAAAAATGGACAAAAGACATGAATAGACATTTCTCCAAAGAAGATATACAAATGGCCAATAAGCACATGAAAAGATACTCAATATCACTATATATTAGGGAAGTGCAAATCAAAACTACGATTATATACTAATACAAGGGCAACTATAAAAAAAAAACAAAACCAGAAAATAGCAAGTGTTGATGATGATGTAGAGAAATTGGAACACTTTTACACTGTTGCGGGAATGTAAAATGGTACAGCTGCTGTGGAAAACAGTATGGAGATTCCTCAAAAAATTTTAAATAGAATTATTATATGATCTAGCATTTTCACTTCTGGATATATACCCAAAAGAATTTGAAGCAGGGTCTAAAATAGATAATTGTATATCTGTCTTCATAGCAGCATTATTCTTAATAGCTAAAACATGGAAATAATCCAAATGTCCATTGACAAATGGATAAACAAAATGTGATATATACATACAATGAAAAATTATTTAACCTTAAAAAGGAAGGGAATTCTGACACATAATAAAACATAGATAAACCTTGAGGACATTATACTAAGTGAAATAAGCCAGTTATAAAAGGACAAATATTGTATGATTCTACTTCTATAAGTACTTAGAGTACTCAAAATTATAGAGACAGAAAGTAGAATGGTATTTGCAAGGGGCTATGGGGAAGGAAGAAATGGGGGTTATCATTTAATGCAACGGTTCTCAACCTGTGGGTCGCGACCATCGGAAAACACATATAGCATACCAGATATTTAATTACGATTCATAACAGTAGCAAAATTACAGTTATGAAGTAGCAACGAAAATAAATATATGGTTGGGCGTCACCACAATATGAGGAACTGTATTAAAGAGTCGTGGCGTTAGGAAGGTTGAGAACCACTGAAATGGGTATAGAGATTTTTTTTATAAGATGAAAAGAGTTATGTAGATGGTAGCACAACATAATGAATGTTTTTAATACCACTGAACTATATGCTTAAAAATGGTTAGGTAGTAAATTTTATTTTATGTATATTTTGCCACAATAAAGAATTAGAAAAAACTACCTGTGAGATAGATGCAATTCTCCAACTAACAGATGAGAAGATGACAGCTTTCTAATCACCTCTCTGAGATGTGGAAAAGATTAAATTATAGATATGAAAGCATGTTTTGAAGAGAAGCCCAATAACTCTATAGCCAGTAGGCTAAACCTGACACTCACCCTAAATTTCTAGCTATGCCACTGTGTGTGTGTGTGTGTGTGTGTGTGTGTAAAATCTAAAATGGAATGTGTGTGTGTGTATGCAACAGCTTTATTAAGGTATAATTCAGATACCATACAATTTACCCATGTTAAGGGGAAAATTCAATGGTTTTTAGTTGTGCAACTATCACTACAATTTAAGAACATTTTCATCACACCCCCAAAGAAATACCATTTACTTTAGTAGGCAAACCCCATTTCTCCCCCACCACCACCACCAGCCCCAGCCTTAGGCAACAACTAATCTACTTTCTGGTTTTTTGAATTTGCCTATTGTGAACATTTCATATAAATGGAATCATACAATATGTGGTTGTTTGTGACTAGATTGCATTTAATCCCACCTCAACAATATTAAATCCATAAACATAAATATTTTTCCATTTATTTAGATCTTCTTTAATTTTTTTCAATGTTTTTGCTTGTATTTATTTTTAACCCAAAATGAATTCCAATTTTGTTCACTTTTGAGAATGTCATGATATCCTTGCCCATATCTGCAAATTGAATACACCTCAAAGTACTGCAAATCCAGCAACATCCCTGCACACAGTGGGTGTTCAGGGGTGAAGCAGAGGTGAGCATAATGTGGACAGGATCTTTACATGCTCATCATTTATTTGCTTCAATGAAACAATTATTTTTTTAACATTTAAATTAACTCCTCTGGTCCCCTCCTATAAAAGGAGATTAATACAGTTTATATGGGGGTTCTATGGAAATGTTTATTATATTAATTACAACATAATTAATATATATATAAAGAACAATCAATGACTTGTTTTGAAGATAAATATATATCTAACTTGTATAGTAAAAACTCCTATTTTTTAATAAATAAAACTGGACCTCAGCATCTAGGTTTGAATGCAACTCACTGTGGGCTAAATGGATGACCTCTGGCATGTCTTCCATCATCCTGGAGCTTCAGTTTTCTTGCAGGACTGTTTTTACGTTAAATGAATCGATATCACAAAAGATATGTGATAAACTTTCACCTTCCAACATGCTATACTCATGCTGATGCTCAGAAGTCTCTTATCTAGGTTTAGCATAGACTGAATGTGCTTGTCCAGTATGTCAGGCCTTCTCTGCTTGGACTTGTAGGAAGAACCACCAGCGGGCCATTGAGTCTTTGCAGACCAGCCTGGATGCAGAAGCCAAGGGCCGGGCAGAGGCACTTCGCCTGAAGAAGAAGATGGAGACTGACCTGAATGAAATGGAAATCCAGCTGGACCATGCCAACAAGAACAACAGCGAACTTGTGAAGACACTGAAAAGGCTACAACAGCAACTCAAGGTAGTGACCTGGGAGGGGAAAGAACTAATCACAAAGCAAGCCAACCCCAAGCCTACAGGCTTACAGAAAGCTAACTTCATGCATGTCTTTAGCTAGGATAAAGGCAAGAGAGTGAGAACATGGGGTGGCTGGCATTCCAGCGAGCAGGAGACTTGGAGACTATAAATGAGAGGTCCTGCCCAGCTGGTATGGCTCCGTAGATCGAGCATTGGCCTGCGGACTGAAGGGTCCCAGGTTTGATTTCGGGTCAGGACACATGCCCTGGTTGAGGGCTCAATCCCCAGTGTGGGGAGTGCAAGAGGCAGCCAATCAATGATTCTTTCTCATCATTGATGTTTCTATTTCTCTCCCCCTCTCCCTTCCTCTCTGAAATTATTAAAATAAATAAATAAGAGGTCCCAACCACCATAGTCCATATCCGGGACCACTAGAATAAGAGGGTAAGGAGAGAAACAGGAAGTTGGACCTGTCTTAATTTTTACAATCATTTTTAACTTATCTACACTAATAAAAGAGAAAAATGGTAATTGGCGTACGGCGCTACCCTTTTTATTGGCTAATCAGGGCTATATGCAAATTAACTGCCAACTAAGATGGCAGTTAACTGCCAACAAAGATGGCGGCTAATTTGCATATGTAGGCACAATGCAGGGAGGTGAAAGGGAAAGCAGGAAGAAGCCCCCTGCCACTGACAGTGATCAGAAACCCAGGGGGGAGCTAAGAGGTGGGGGGCAGGGCAAAGGCGGCCCCAGGGCCGCCTTTGCCCTGCCCCCCACCCATGATCGGAGAATCAGGCGCCTTTGCCGCCCTGGCCAGTGATGGCAGGAAGTAGGGGTGGAGCCAGCGATGGGAGCTGGGCACGGTCGAAGCTGGCAGTCCCAGGAGCTAGGGGTCCCTTGCCTGGGCCTAAAGTGGAGCCCACGATCACGGGGCGCTGTAGCTGTGGGTCCCCGCTGCCCAAGCCGGACGCCTCAGCCAGAGGCATCCTGCAGGGGCAGGGGCGGAGCCCGTGCGATTGCGGCACCCCCCGCTGCCACTGCGGGTCCCCGCTGCCCAGCCGGACGCCTAGGCCAGAGGCGTTAGGCCTGGGCAGGGGTGGAGCCTGCAACCGCGGGGAGCTGGGGGTCCCCTGCCCAGGCCTAATGCTTCGGTCAGAGGTGTTAGGCCTGGGCAGGGGCAGAGCAGGAGATCACAGCGCTGCTGCCGCTGCGGGTCCCCGCTGCCCGGGCCGGATGCCTTGGCCAGAGGCGTTAGGCCTGGGCAGGGGCAGAGCCTGCAACCGCGGGGAGCTGGGGATCCCCTGCCCAGGCCTGACACCTCTGCCGGAGGCCTCAGGCCTGGTCAAGGGGCCGATCCGGTGATTGGTGATCGGAGGGTGATGAGGGTCAACTCCTCTGGCCGAGGCATCAGGCCTGGGTGGGGGGCTGGGGGTCCCCTGCCCAGGCCTGATGCCTGGGCCAGAGGCATCAGGCCTGGGTGGGGGGCGGAGCTGGGGATTGGAGGGATATGATGGTCCCCTTGCCCAGGCCTGAAGCCTGGGTCAGAGGCGTCAGGCTTGGGCGGGGGGTGGAGCAAGCGATCAGAGGGAGATGGGGGTCCCCTGCCCAGGCATGATTCCTGGGCCAGAGGCCTCAGGCCTGGGCGGGGGTCAGAGCCAGTGATCAGGGGGAGATGGGGGTCCCCTGTCCAAGCCTGACATCTCTGGTGGAGGCGTCAGGCCTGGGCAAGGGGCCGATCAGGCGATCGGAGGGTGATGGGGGTCTACGCCTCTGGCCGAGGCATCAGGCCTGGGCAAGGGGCAGAGCCAGCAATTGGAGGGGTCTGGGGGTCCCCTGCCCAGGCCTGACGCCTGGGCCAGAGGCATCAGGCCTGGGCTGGGGGCAGAACCAGTGATGGGGGGAAATGAGGGTCCCCTGCCCAGGCCTGATGCCTCTGTCAGAGGCAAGGGGCCGATCCTGCGATTGGAGGGTGATGGGGGTCAATGCCTGAGGGCTCCCAGTATGTGAGAGGGGGCAGGCTGGGCTGAGGGACACCCCCCCCCCATACATACACACACACACACACACACACACACACACACACACACACCCAGTGCACGAATTTCGTGCACCGGGCCCCTAGTTATAAATGATTTCAGACATAGAAAAATATAAACACCCATGTACCCACCACTCACTCACCTTAAGAAATAAACACAAATAGAGGTGAAGTCCTCCTTTATCACTCTTCATCATCAGGTTGGTCTTTAAAGCATGTATAGCTGGATCCATGCATTCAACATGTGTTTATTGGAGACCTGCTCTGTCCAGGCTCTGTATTAAGTGCTAGGGGCAGAAGAATGGATGAAACAACAAATATCTTTGCAGGTAGACAATAAGCAACAAATAAATAAAACTGTAGCATAAAAAAATGGTAAGTGCTATGGAGAAATAACAAGACAGGGGAAGAGAGATGGGGATTAGCCAGTTGAAGTGTAACTGTTAAAGCTCATTGAGGAAGAACTCTTGAGAGGCCCTGCTGAAAACACCAGGCTGTGACTCGCTGAGGGCAGGTCTATGCCTCACACTCTTCCACTGTGGCCTCCATTTCCCCATTTCCACCCCAGCTCCCTCCTAAGCCAGGTCTGTGAAGATCAGAGCACCCTTACTCCTGGCCAGCCCAAAGAGATGAGCTCAGATTGTGTCTTCTTGTCCCCCAGGATCTGCAGGTCCAGATGGACGAGGATGCCAGGCAGCACGAGGAGCTACGGGAGCAGTACAACCTGCAGGAGAGGCGCCTGAGCCTGCTGCAAACGGAGCTGGAGGAGGTGCGCTCAGCCCTGGAGGGCAGTGAGCGCTCCCGCAAGCTGCTGGAACAAGAGGTGGTGGAGATCACAGAGCGACACAATGAGGTCAACGTCCAGGTAGGATGGTGGCTCCCTGGGAAGTGCCATGGAAACTCATACTCAGGATGCCAGGGCCAGTCCAGAATGGTGCCCAGACCTGTGAGTTCCCTCAGAATTCAGAGGCAGCTAATGTCCTCGTTCCTCAAGTCCTCGAAACTCACCAGCAGAACTTTGTTGTTGTTGTTGTTATGGTAAAAAATAATAACAACATAAAATGCACCATCTTAGCCATGTTCTGTGCACAGCACAGTGTGTTAACTACATGTACACTGTTGTGTACAGCTTTTAAAGACAGGCTCCCAGAGACTCCCCTGGAGATTCTGACCCAGTGGGCCCATGGTAGAATCCCAGAAATCTAAACTTTTAGAAACGCCTCAGAAGAGTCTAAGTATTAAGCCAATTTTAAACAAGTGTAGCTGAGGCTAGAACTTCAGAACTGGGAGTGATCTAGAATATTCCAAAGTCTGACTTTCATGAAGAAAAAAATGGGCCAAAGAGTTGAGAGGTTTATCCATGGTCAACATTGGGAAGCCCTGTCTGCTCCTAATGGTAACACCAGTACTGCTTACTGTTCACAGTGCAGTCCTTTCCTGGCATAGCTTAATACTTACTCATCATCTCATGTGAATTTACCAAATGAAAAAATGTACATGGGACATATAGGGGTTATCCCATTTAGAGGCTGGAAGACCAAAGCCTAGAGGTAAGGAATTTATCCATGTAGGTGGAAGTACCCAACCTTGAACTGGGTTTTCCAAGTTCTGAGTTCAGAATTTTTCTAGAGCTGCCATCCTCCTCAGGCCTAATGATGTTATTCCTGGGCTCCTCATGATGCAAATTCTGCTCTAAAATCCAGAGAATACAGAGGAAAGACCCTCACTCCAAGCAGGGTCCTAGAGCCATTTCCTGTTAGGGTGTCTGGCAAGCATGTCTGGGAGAGGGTCATTTTCTTTCCTGGAAACAAAAGGGTTGTGCAGACTCCTGTCTCACAACAATTCTTTCATTTCCTCCTCCAGAACCAAAGCCTCCTGGTGGTCAAGCGCAAGTTGGAATCAGATGTCCAGCGCATCTCCAATGAGCACGAGGAGCTCATCAGTGAGTTCCGCTCAGCTGATGAGAGAGCCAAGAAAGCCATGACTGACGTAAGTATGTGCACTACCTGCTGCTGGTGGGAGAGGGACAGGGTACCCCAGGCCAGGCCACCTGCTGAGGACCCAGCTACCCTAGGCAGGGAAGGCCACCACCTCTCCTTGAGTCACTATGGAGCCCTGGCACCCTGCCAGAGGGATATGGTCCCGGCTCTGGGGAGACCAGAGTCTGGAGGAATACTTACAAGCTACACATGATCATGTGAGAGATTAGAGAGTACAGCCTGGGGACACAGACCAAAGGAGCCATCGATGTGGACTCATCTTGGCAGCCTTTTTGGCAAAGAGGAACATCAAACCAGCCTTAAAGAGAGGGTTAGTGGAAGGAAAACGGATGCTGCGACCAGGGGCTCAGGGGTGGATATTGGCAAGATGTGCTGCCAAGTATTTTTATCCCAGTACCCCTTTGGGTGCTCACATGGACCTTGAGTGTAGATACTATGTATCCCACTTTAGGGCTGAGAAAATACAGATTTTCTTTTCTCACGCTTTATTGAAATGCCAGGAGCTCAGGAACATGTTGGTCAAATTTGGTGGTATGTCTCAAGACATAGCACACAGTAAGTCCTCCATGAATATTTGTGTAATTAACGTATGAAGAGTGGGTAAAACGACTTACCAAATGGGTACAGAACTCCACCTTCCTACTCTAGATCTGTGATTTTCCCACCCTCTGTGCTATGCCCCTCTTGGATGATACAGCAAAGAGTTTGGCTGGAGAGCACCAGGCTGGTGGAGTCCACAGGATTGGAAGGCCTGGCTATGAGTGCATGACCCTGCCTCCTCCCCTTGCACTTGGAAGGACATGGGAGCCTGGAGCCCCCTTCCATCAAACCCCAGCAGTGTGTTAGTGAGGTTCCTCAAGTCAACCACTTGGCTTCCGAGAGACAAGGTTCCTCACCTCTCAAAGGCACTATGAGCCTAGATGCAGACCCAGCTCCAGCTCGTGCTCTTCTCCTGGTCTCCCACAGGCTGCCCGCATGGCAGAAGAGCTCCGGCAAGAGCAGGACCACTGCATGCACCTGGAGAAGATCAAGAAGAACTATGAGATCACCATCAAAGACTTGCAGGCCAAGATGGAGGAAGCTGAGCAGCTGGCTCTGAAAGGAGGAAAGCGCACAATCATGAAGCTGGAAACCAGGGTGAGGGCAACACTGAGCTGGGCTAGGAGAGAGATATGGCCAGGCTGGAGTAGGGAGGAGGTCTTTTCCCAAAAAACATGCCCAGCATTTGATGAGGTTATTCCAGAGCTGGGAAAGAAAAGGAAATTGAGGCAACTGCTCTAATTTCTTTAGACAGAGGTCTCCTCTCCTCCTCCTCTCCCTGTCATCTTCCCCCAGAATTTCCTTAGCCCCCAAGCAGAGCAGTTTCCCATATATTCGTCCTCTTTGTTCCCAGTCTCGGCTTCCAACGTTATTCCTCTCTTACTGCTTACCTAAAATAAGCCTTTACTTCCTGGAATGTTGAAGCTGGAAGGGCCCAGGAGGTTTGGTCACCTTTTCTGACCCCTGCCTCTCCCATTTCTCAGAGGAGGAAACTTGAGGCTCAGGGAAAGTAACCAATTTACAAAGGGCCTGACCCCCCCTGTCCAGGGCTCACCTATTCACCTCTGGATAGGAAGTGGACACTGTAGCCATGACATCCCTGTCCAAGGTCACTGAGCTCAGAAGTTCAAAAACATACTTTTCCTCAGCCACATTCCTCTCCTCCTTCCTCAGATCAAGGAACTAGAGACAGAACTGGATGGCGAGCAGAAGCGGCATGTGGAGACAGTCAAGACTCTACGGAAGAATGAGCGTCGCCTCAAAGAGCTGGTCTTCCAGACAGAGGAGGACCACAAGACCAATCAGCGCATGCAGGAGCTGGTGGAGAAGCTACAGAACAAGATGAAGGTCTACAAGCGGCAGATTGAAGAGGCGGTAGGTGCTCACCACACATCCCTAATTCTCCCTTTCTTCCCAGCCCAGGTCTCAAGCCTTGATTAGAATTAACCACAGGAAAGGAATAAAGTATTGGCCAAAAGACGACTCCCATGAGTCTCATGTCTATGGCACTTCACCCCCACTATCATGTGAGAAGTGGACTGGACACTACACACTGGCAATAAGAATATGTAAAAAACAAACTTATCCTCTAAGAACACCTGTGTTGGGTGAAGTACCCACTGAAGGGTGTGCTCTAAAATCAGGGAAGATCTTAGCTTCCTTTGTCCTTCTTCTACTGGCCCTGTGGCCTCTGCCCGGATAACCTCTCTTTCCTGGTCATACTGTTAAATACAAGGACTTGCCTTTATTTGATTCTCCTGATGCAAGGCAGGAAATCTGGTATTTCTAGTCCATTTCACAAGTGAGTAAACAGCCCAGTGTGGGGTATTTATGTTAAAGTCAAAGTCAAATGGTTGGCAAATAGTGGCTTCAAGTCTCAATCCTACACCACATGTCCACTTACTACCGTCATCCAAGACATAGATATTTGACTCTGCTATCATTTGCTGCCAGTTCTGGGGCCACCATGTTGAACCTATCAGCCACTGACCTACTCAAAGCCCTTCCCCAAAGGCTCAATAGAGGCCAGGCATACAGTAAATATCGTCTAAAAACATCTATGTCTTTACTGGGAAGACAAGGGGATGGGAAATGTGTGGTGGAGGCTATGGGGAAGAACTAAATCCACAACTTCCAAGTGGGGTCCCAATAACTAATTCCTAAAACCACAAATTATAAAAGCAGCAACAGAGCACATTTTATTTAGCAATATGGATGTCAAGGCCAAAAAGAATTACCTAAAAGTATTGAGACAGTTGTCTGTGGTAAGCTGGAGGATGACCCTGACCCAGGACTGGTGTGTTTTGTAAAAGCCTTATTAGAACAATTACACTCTTAGATGACAATGCAGAGTAACAAACAGAACACATTTAACCAGAACAAGCCAGGTTCACATCCCACTTTCCACTGTGTCTTTGCTGCAGGAGGAGCAGGCCAACCAGACCTTTGCTCGCTACAGGAAAACAGTGCACGAGCTGGATGATGCTGAGGAGCGGGCTGGTATGGCGGAGACGGCTCTGAACAAGCTGCGCACCAGACACCGGGTAGCCGGCAAAGGCATCACCTCCGTTGAGATCATCCAGGTGTCCAAGACAGGCTCCTCCAAAACGCTTTCTGAGGAGTGATGCTCTCCATGGCCCAGTTCACAGCCGGTGCGTGTAGATACCACTCTCGACAGCCATACTCCAAGTTCACCTTTCCTGCTTCTGTCCCTGCTTTGCTTTTTCAGACTTCTATGCTTCCTGGCTTCCAGGCTGTCATGCCCTGACCTCACACAGTGAGAACCCCAAAGCTTCCCCTGTCCCTTCAGCCGCAACACACAGTCTCTCTCTCTCTCTCTCTCTCTCGAATCTGAAAGCTCTCAGGTGTGGTGCTATTTACCTGTATCACAGGTGCTGGTAGTCAGGATGTGTCCCCATCTGAGTGAAAGCTCATTGAAAGCAGGTCCATGTCTGATGCCACTTAACACTAAGCCTGGAAAATAGGTGCTGAGTACAAGCTTGTTTTCATTGGACAACCATAGGGGCAACTGCAAGCTTATAGGCAACGTGTGTTCATCTTTCACATCCCCCACAGTACCATTATTCTTGACGATCTCATCAAACTGGTTGAATTTTGATATCTAGCATTAAGGAAATAATAATCATTGCAGTATCATTTCTTGGGCCTGAGTGCAGGTGGAATTTTAGAGGGACAATTTAAAATAGCCCTTTCTTATTTTTCTTAATTCAAAACCAATTAAAAAGAATACAGGAGACAAATTTGTAAAAGCTTTATTATGCTATGGTTCTAGATTGAGAATTTAATGGGTATCCATCATGGGCATCCTTATACTTCACCCCGAAATTAAAGGTACCTACAGAATTGGGGAGCAGCCCCTATTCCAAAGGGAGGAATGACTAGAACTCATCAATCATGCAGGTAGATCCAAAAGGAGCTATCAGATGGGTTTCCTGCACCATTCAGACCCAGGAGGCCTTTCAGCTCCTTCCACCTGATAAGTGTTAGCCTCCAGAATTAGACACCTCGTAAAGCATATCCCCTGCCTTGGCTTGGTGACTGTTTATTCCTGGGGTCTGCTGGCCCTAGTCCGATTGGTCTCTCTCCACATCATTGTGCCAACAGCAAGTAGAGGTTAGAAGGCTGAGAGCCCTGGGGTCTGTTATCCATGTCTTGATCCATCCTCACTCTCTTATCCCATTTTCCCTGTTGGCCATAGGAACAAATATGCCATCTGTAGCCATGAGATGTCTTAAGCAAACTAGCTCATGAGTCAACACTGAGTCAAAACCCCACAGAGGCCGAAACCGGTTTGGCTCAGTGGATAGAGCGTCGGCCTGCGGACTGAAAGGTCCCAGGTTCGATTCCGGTCAAGGGCATGTACCTGGGTTGCGGGCACATCCCCAGTAGGGGGTGTGCAGGAGGCAGCTGATCGATGTTTCTCTCTCATCTATGTTTCTAACTCTCTATCTCTCTCCCTTCCTCTCCGTAAAAAATCAATAAAATATATTAAAAAAAAAAAACCCACAGAGTTTAGTTTTACAAATGGCATTATATTAAGTCCCACAATATCTATCAAGCTCTGAATATGGGCTAGGCCTGTACTATGGAATACAGAGATGAGTAGGAAAGACCATACTCCCTTGTGGAGCTCAGAATCCAGTGGAGAGGTAGACACACACATCAATTAACACAAGGCTGTGAGCAAATAATCTGTGATGTGGTGTTTGCCTCTCCTGGGAAGGGATCACAGGGAATGAGTGACTGATTTAACCTGGAGTGGCTGGGTGGAGCAGCTCCACACTGCATGTAACCTGTACAAGAATCTAGAGCAGTGCCACTCAAGGGTGGTGCCTGTTTACCTTCCAAAATAACAGAAGTACAGAAACTAAGAGGACGTTTTTAGAAATTTTTATAGCAATTGAGACTGTATGACATCCATGGACAATATCAGTGTATTTTCTAAAAGTATGCTTCTGCTATTAAATGAAAATGAAAAAAAATTAATAAAAATTAAAAAGAATAAACTGATCCCACACCAGGTAGAGAAGGAAAGAAGGGAACTCCAGCTAGAAGGTCCAACACATATGAAAGTGCAGAGGTGGGATTCACACAAGGGTGCATCATGACTGGAGAAGAAGGGCTCATGATGAGGCAAGAATGATGGACAGGGAGGGAGATGAAGCTAGCAGGATAGGCATGGGTGAGGCTGTGAAAGGCCCTGTTGGGTGCAAGTATCCCACAATCTCCATAAGGAAATCTTGTTAATTTTAAAAATCAATTTGTGGGATGTAATGAGCAGTAGCTTTTCTTTCTTGGGAAGACACATCACAACAGAAAAACAAGCCCCTTGGCCCCTCATGAGACAACACAGGCAAGCTCATGGGGAGCATTGTACCCCAGGGAACCACACTCTGGTCCTCCCAATGGCCTGTGTGGAGTTCAGGCCTGCTTGAGCATGCTAAGCCCAAGGAAGGTTTATCTAAATCACCACAACCTTACACAGAATGAGCCAGATATGACCCAATGGTGTCCATTATGAGGGAGGAAGCCTGTGTAGAACCAGCCCAGGCATTTTTCTAGCAAGAAGGGGCAAAGATGTCAGAACTTCCAGCTCTGGCCCACAAGGATTTTCTCAACCTCTCTCTCTTTTGTCCTCTAGGGTGACACAGATCTCAACAGCAGACCATTGAGAGGAAAAATATATGAAAATGGAAAACTGGGTCTTCCTGTTTGCGATGCAAAGGAAAGTGCAAGCCAGAAAAAGACAGGTGCTAAAGAATAAAGATCGCTGTGGAGGGAAGTGGGTTTGGGACACAAATACCCAATAATTAGAGGAATTAAAATTAGCATGGCTTCCCTAAGACTGTATCAAGCTGTGTAAGCACTTGGAAAAAAATAACAGTGGGTCTGTTTGAGTTGAGAACCTACATATTCATGTCAAGGATGGAATATGTAAAGTCTGTGTGACCTGGCTG